CCGGACGACAGGAAATTATCCCCAGATTACTGTGCGACACTGAGCTGCAAGTCCAGGGATCTCAGAGAATGCCCATCAGGACAAATGCCGAAACAAACTACTCCTAGATTTATCATACTTGTAAAGGAAAAAGCATGTGCTGTCTCTACTTGCACACTCGACACAGAGCACCATCTTTGTGATTAATCATCTCTTTCAAGCTAGGGGGAAAAATGATCACATCAGAATATCCACAAACAAGCAAACACCTTGCCAAAACTTGGAGTCAAGAGAAGACAAGTTAGTGTGTCCCTTAAAGTCAAAGTCACCATTCACAGTCCAAAGACACATGAGTACAGGGCCCAAAGAAAGAAGAGAATTTTACCTGAAACTAAAGGACACTGCAACAGCAAGCAGAAACCACACCCAAGTTTGGGAGGCACATTTGTCTGTGTTGACAGACACTGATCAAAATCCTTTGCAGAATATCAGGCCCTGCTCTCTGGTGGTCTCGGGCTTCTATAGGACAAGCAAGCAGGAAGTACAGAGGCAGAACGGCTCTTCAGTCCAGGACTGGCTTATACACCGTGCATCACAGTGGCCAGCTGTTTCTAAGGCACAAGAACAGCCTGCACTGGAACAGGAAGTGTTTGTTACCTGGGCCACTAACAAATGAATATATGGGCTTGGGGAGGTCACTTTCTGTTACAATGGAGAGGTAATGGAAAATAACTGAAAATCAGCTCCTGAAAACTCACCTGAGCGTGAGGAAGGATGGTGTGTGGTGAAATTCATTGATAAGCAGACACTGACTCTTGAGAATTGTCCTCAGACAGTAGTCAAAACAACTGAGACAAGGCTCCAAGTAATTTCTCTTAAGAGATTCTTGTCTTACTACAACTGTTTCCCAGCCTCATCGCAAGGTTATCAGCCAACACAAGGCTTTGATAAAGAACCACCTGAGCCGTTGTAGAAGCTCCTGGTCAGCACCAGAGGCCCTCACCAGAATAACTGGATGTGTCCAGAAAATGAAAAGGATATTTCAGCACAGGGCTCTTAATTAGCTCTAGGGAAGTAAGAGTTCTGTATACTCTTAAAAGTGATGTTAAGGGAGGAAACTGAGACATGCTTTTAATGAGCTTTACAAACTGATGACTGCAATTCTAAAAAGAAACATCGGCAAAATAAGTGGGCACTGAGTCATTAGAGAGTCCGGGAAAGCAAGTCCCACCCAGAGTGCATCTCACCTGGTGGGCAGCTGGGTGCCCACTCAGAGGTCACTGCAGTGCCCAGGGCTCGAACCCCAGGCGCACCGGCCTCGGGCAGTACCCAGCGCTGACCACCGTCCTCCGTGCGGGTGCTGCGTGTATGGGTGAGACAACTTGCACCTCCTTGGCAGGAAACAGGGAGAGGGTCGCGTGAGCCACGTCTAAGTGTCCCAACTTGGCACCGGCCCGAGTGGGTGGAAAATCACGGCCCTAGGGTCGTAGTGGTGCAGGGAGATCCCAGGCTGAGTGTTTCTCAAGCCCCAAATCTGTCAGGCGCCGCTCACCTTCCGAAAGAAGGGGGGCCTGCGCAGCTCCAGGGCCCACTGTCCAGCGCTTTCCCCGGGGACCGGGGTGGGGCCGCAGCTGCTACCGAAGTGACTCATCGGGGGCATGGATGGGGCCAAGGCTGGGGCATCAGGGCGCACTGTGTAGGGACCAAGGAGGCCCCAGGGAGCTGCGGTCACTGCGACCAGGCAGCAGGGCCTGTGGTCTTGGGTCCTCCTTGCGCTCGGTTCTCGCAGTCTTTAAGGAGACAGCGTCTACTAACACATTATTTTTATTCTACTTACTGTGGATTCAAACAGACTGGCTGTCAAAATGTTTATGAAAGTGAAGGTTTTCTTAAGTTTTCCTTATTCTTTTAGAAATTACAACTTAATTTTTAAATATATAAAAAAAATAAAGACTAGGGTTATGGAAAATGAGACCTAAGGGGGGGGGCGGCACACACCTGAGATCTAGCGCTATGGAGGCGCAGGCAGAGCCTGGAGGATCCCAGGACATCTGGGCCACCATAGCCACACGGTGAGACCTGTCTCAAAAAAATATAAAACAAAACAAAAAGCCAGGAGATCTGCAAATATGTGCCATCCCGTGAACCCTGGGCATGCCCTGGCGGCCACCAAAACCAGGCATGCTGACGCACGCCTGTAATCCCAGAGCTGTGGAGGCTAAAACAGGAGGATCATTACGAGTCCGAGCTGCATAGCGAGACCCTGTACTGAATAATACAAGATTTCTTAAAAATTAAAAAAAAGAGATTAGCAAATAATTTCCTGTAAATTAGATTTACTCTACAAAAGGTAAATCTCAGAATATTTACCATTGCTGGGCAAAGTCTTGAATGAAGAAAGAGCGCCTCACTGAGATATAAATCTAATATTTCCTTATAGTCCTGTAACAAAACAAGTCCTTCCCCTGTCCCCCCGCCCCTTTTTTTTTTTTATGTATTTGGTACAGGGTCTCACTACGTAGCTTGGACTCACAGTGATCCTCCTGTTTTCAGCACACCGAATGCTGGGATCGCAGGCATGCGCCACCATGCTGGGTCTTGGTGGCGTGCTCGGCATGCCCAGGGCGAGGGCCAGCGCAGCCTTCCTCTAACTCTTAAAATGAACTAAAAACAGAACAGCAGGCTGTAGACATTTGGCTGTGTAGGTTTATGACCGGTCTTAACGTGAGAAAGCTTAATTGTCACTCCCACAGCACGTACTATTTTCCTGTCTTTCCAATCTTGATAAATACTCCCTGCTTGCCCTAAGCTTAAGCCAGAAGCAGTACGTGTTTTAGGTCCCTCCCCGCTGACCTGGGAGCTGGGAGGGTCGCAGGGCCAGAAGGGAAGAGTGGTCCACTCTACCTGCCCCTTGCCGAGTATCCGTGTACAAAACTGGGTCGCTGCCCCTCCGCTCCACACCCCCTTCGTTCCTCCGTCCCTCCTGCGACACTCCCCCGACCCCGCCCACTATCCCACTGGCCTGTCCCCTTAGTTTCCCAGATATTCTGTTCAGATCTCTTCTTGCCACCTAGTTTTTCTGGGGTGGCCAGAATGATCTTTTACAAAATGTGGGCCACTTCATGTTTTTGCCTGTTTATAAGGTTTCAGTATCTTTCCTATTTACAAAGCTCCTACTGCAGTCCGGTGGTATTTTAAATCCTAAGCATGATGTTTCAAGCCTGTAGGATCAGCCAGCCTCTCCACTCCATTCCCTGGTGCACTCACTCTTGTCGGTTCCCTCCATCCTCCAGCCTTCCTGGCCCCTTGGCTTGGGGAGCTCGGCACCCTCCACTCTGCCCAGATGAGCCCTGCTTCACTTTCCACACCAGACTCCCTCCTCCCCTCTCATGGTCACCCAGTGTCACCTATTTACCCAAAGGATGTCTATCTGGAGACAACGTTCCTACTGTCCCAGTTAAAATTAATTCTCTCCTGAGGTTTTCATGAAGCCACTTTGCACATTTTCCATGTCCCTTAATATATATGAGCATATAATATGTCATCTTTTTTGTTTCAGGATCTCTCTTCACCATTAGACTCTGTACACAGTGCACAGTGCAGTGCCCAGGGCAGAAAACACTTGTAAAAATACTAAATCTATCAATCATCGGAAAACCTGTCTTTTTACCTTACAGTGGGAAAACTTGCCAATGGATAAAAAGACATCAGCATTTTTTAATTTTTTATTGACAGCATATTTTTAATGATCATACACTATCATTTTGCCTCCCCATACATTACATAATGAAATATTCCATTTTGGAGGCATTGGAAAGGCTTTGATGTTAGGCTACGAATAGTCTTGTTGCACTGTTTGAGTGTTTCACACTAGTGTTATTGAGGACCAGCCTGATTCAGCACAGAGCAGGTAATAATAAATTGGAACAAAAATAAAAGAGTCTGTCCTAGGCTACCTGCCTTGAGGTGAGACCCCCCAGCTGGCTTAAGAAGAGATTAATCTTTAAGCCAATGGCCAGAGCTGAGGCCAGCAAACAGCTGTGAGGTTTCGGTTCCTCAAGGCTGAGGGCTTGACCTCTGCAGATTTCTTCTAGCTCAGTAGCTGCAGGTACCAGAAAATCAGGTTACTAGTGTAAAGGTTTAACAGAGTTTTGTGCCTTAACTGTGGAAAATTATAAAAACCCCTTGTGCTTCCTGTTTTCTGCTCTAAGAAATGTATTCTCCCTTTCAGCTCAAGGCTGTTCAACATAAATAACTGTTTCTTGTCAAGGCA